ACATTATGACGGTCATAACCGATGTCAACTAGCAGCTAACAAATAAAATACTCAATCTATTGTCGGTCCTAACCAACATTACCCAACATGTCGATAAACAAAATAATTATTATGCATTCCTACACAGATGGTACATGAGATGCAAACTTCACAGATTCAATTTAATCAAGAATTCAACTGGGGTCTTTGGGTCTAGAATTTCTTGTTAAATGTATTCTATTTCATATAAATAAGGAAGTAAAAATAACACATATATAGGAGCTATTAGAGAACCGGTTACAAGATGAAGATAAAAAAAACTAACAATTACATATAATACTAATTAGAGCTTCATGCTTGCATATAATACTAGCAACTGCCATGATGCTTTCCCGTGCTTGCCTTTGTCGAAGACCACAGGTTCTGTAGCTCCATGCTGCCATATATAATACTAGCAGCTCCATGCTGCCATGCTTGCCATTAGATCAGTGCTCCAATACTTTACTACTTCAACATTAGGGCTCTAATCTTTATAGATTAAACTCAGGTTTTATACCTTTAAAAAATTATGGATCTGCGATTTCCAGTGTCCTTGCTCTTCAGATCCAAAATGAACATGCATGAATTTTTATATGGATTTTCGCACTGCTGATCTTACTGAACAAGAACATAAAAAAGGAGCTCAGTGGAGATTATAGCTTTAGTGAATCATGCATTAGACTACTTAGCATTCACATATATAATAGCTACGTGGAAGGTTGTAAATACATCAAGAGTTTCACTTATTCTTCCTACCTTTTCACTACCAAATCATCCAATTAGAATAGATTTTTTTTTTTTTTAAATTTTTACAGATTTCAGGTCCCTGCAAAAGAAACAACACAAGCATGAGGAGTTGAAGATTTTTTTCTTATATGGTATATTTCAATATGTGAACCTGAGTGCATGAATTGGCAAGGGAGGGTGAGAAGTTTACCTCTAATTGCGTCAGCACCAAGATTGATGCTGCTACCTTTCTGGTGATGCAGTAAATCCATGTCTACGAGGTCTTATGGGTTGAGAAAATGTGGAGAAAGGAGTTGCGATTTTAGGGTGTGCTTGGAAGAAGGGAGAGATAAATGAGGGAGGTTAGCTTCTGGGCTCGAGGTGAAGCCTCTTGAAAGAGGGAGATTGACATCCTTTTTTTCGTTTAAAAATATGGGGGAAATATCCCGCCCAAATTTTTTCATGCGAGATAAGTATTTAAAAAAATAGAAATATCAATTTGTCAACTACAACCGACAGGAAGTTTTAAAATATTTAAAAAATATTTATTAGTGTCGGGTAGAAGTGACATGAGTTTCGTTTTCACCGACAATAACTTTATGTCGGTTGAAAACGACACGGTTTTCTTTTTATACGACACCACCATTTAAAAATATTAAAATCTATGTCGGTTATAAGAGACATAGACAATTTATATCACTTATACCTTACAGTAATTCCGACACCATGTAAGGAGGTGTCGGAAATGTCTTATCCGCCAGTATTTTATAGAAAACCGACACAATAAGCCATTTTTGTAGTAGTGGGAGTTGAAATCGGGGGAGGTGGTTGGGAGGCTTGGGAGGGAGAAGAGGGATAGGGAGCGGTTGCGGGGGAGGTGGGGGTAGGTTCTGCGTTTTTATTTTTTCTGAGAAGATTTAGGTTTTTTTTTAATTAAAAAATATTTTTTGCCATGTGGCACATATTTGGTAGCCACATGGCACAAATGTGGCAGTCACATTAGCTCTTAACGGATCAATGGATGAAAAATGTAACTGATGTATTATATTGAAATAGAATAGTACTTGAGGTATGAAATTGAAATATTTTTAAAATGTTGTAAGAAATTGACATCGATCTCAAGCTTGAGGTGGTAAGTGTAATTTACCCTATATATTTTCTCAAACAGAGGTAGAAACGTAATAAAGCAAACTTAGTTGGGACATAATAGGAAGCACACTGTGCATATGAATAGTTAATCAATTCGTTTTGAGTTTTAGTATAGATTCAATTTTTGAAACATCATAATTAAAGATAGAATTATAAAAGGTGGTAGATTCAATTTATAAATGGTGATACAATCATTCATAGGATTTAGGGTTATATAATTTGTGGATGATCATGTCAAAATTGGTGGTTTGGTCAATGTTGATTTTAATTTAGTGGCTTCTCATATGAGACATTATCTTAGAGCACATGCAGATTTGTTCAAAGTATATACATGAGACTTAAATTGTTTTTAATTTTTATATACAAATGATAGCAGAGAAGGAAAAATCAAACATATAATCTTGAGTAAATGATATTAGTCTTCATGAAATCGGATTAAATAATTTTTATAAGTGATAGTGGAGGTGATGTGGCTATGGGGTTGAAATCCTTTCATTAGGATGAAGGGGTCACCAAAAAAATTAAGTACTAGCTAGTTTTTATTTTATTTTATTTTATTTTTTAAAAGGATATTAGCTCATGATTTTTCCACGGTAGTCTACATTTTCGAAAATCCTAAAAATTCATAGATGCATTTTAACTTTTTCGTGACCACTATTGTATGATTTATCAGCGCGTGAAGTTGAACCGAAAACGTTTCTACTTGCATGGTTTATGGGATTGAAATATGGTATCGAAGATTTGCTTTGAGATTGGTTATTTTAACTAAAATAATGCTGTCTTGGTTCTTTGAGAGTACACTTTATGCTAAAGAGTTTTAAAAATAACGATGAACTTGAGACATTTGCACTTGTTATAGAATTAGTGGATGAAATGCCCACGCAAAGGAATAAAGACTTGGGAATAATATTTGATACTTTTAAAAGTGTCATCATTGTATTTGGATGGTTGTTATTACGAGAGTTGCTTTATAAATAGAACACTTTGTGTGCTATCAAAACACACTGCGAAAAAAAGAATCAAAGAAATAATATCAGTACATCTCCCTCCCTCTCTTTATCTGCCATCATTTGTGTTATAGCTACTAAAATTATAGTGTGATATTTTGTATCCGCTTCGCTCATGTCCTTAACAAAAGTTATTTCTCTAATTTTTACCTATTTATAACAGCACTTTAATTATAAAGCCTTTTCCCCACCATGTATCGTTATTTCCATTGCATGGGATAAAAATGCACACTCGATCTGCAAATCAAAGAGCGACCAAAGCGTTTGCATGCAGCTTTATTTCCTCGTCGAAAACACTTAATTAGCGGACAAGCTTCGTTTAATTTGACGTTATATAATGTGTATGTGCGCGCGTGCTCTACAAAAAAATGGGGACGCTCTAAACACGTCACAAAAGTAGCCAAATGCACCACAATAGCCCTTTAAGGATGATCTTGTGATGGTCAGACACGCGTCGCAATAAAGTGGTGTTGTAATGTTTAGTCAATTATATGCGACGCTTTGAGTGCATCGCAAATACTATTTACTACAGGTTTGCGACAATATGTTACACGTCGCAAATAAGTAACTTCAGATTAAAAAAAAAACAAAAAAACAAAACAAAAATTGGGTGACAAATAGGATACCACAACAACATTATTTTTAATAGCTTCACCAAAATTATTCAAGTGAAATTTACTATAAATAGGTTCCAAACTAAAATAACAATCCAACCTCACTATCACTATTCATAATTCACAAATAAAAAACATTGGGTAAAGTACAAAAAACTACCTCAACTATTGGTGTCACGACATTTTCATACCTCATCTTTTAAAATTGACAATGTTATACCTCATCTTACGAATTTCTGCCAATGTTATACCTTCTGTTAGCCTGTCGTTGATTTGTCAGTTAAATGCTGACGTGGCTTGATCTAGACCCCACTTTCTATTAAAAAATAATAATAAAATATTATTAAAAACTAAAAAAAAAAATCATTTAATATTTTTTAAATATTAAAATAATAAAGAAAAGTAAAAAAAAAAAAAAAAACAAACAAAACCTTTCATCCCTTTCGTCCCTCCCTCCCCTATCTGTAACATCCCACATCATCCAGGGGAGTGATCCTTATATGTATATTCTCATCTCTACCTAGCACGAGACCTTTTGGGAGCTCACTGGCTTCGGGTTCCGTAGAAACTCTAAAGTTAAGCGAGAAGGGGGCTAGAGCAATCCCATGATGGGTGACCCACTGGGAAGTTGCTCGTGAGTTCCCAAAAACAAAACCGTGAGGGAATGGTAAGCCCAAAGCGGACAATATCATGCTACGGTGGTGGAGCGGGCCCGGGAAGTGATCCGCCTCGGGCTGGGATGTGACACTATCTACCTGCTGCAACCCAGAAAAAAGAAGAAGAAGGAAAAAAAAAAAAAAAAACTTCATCCCTTCCCCCCTCCCCCTACCCCCTCGTCCTTCTTTCTTCTCCCCATCCCCCCCACCCCCTTTTCTCCCCCATCCGAACCCCTACCTACAACCCAGAAAAAAAAAAAAAAAATATTCCCAGTTCGTCTTCCCTTGCATCCACCTCCGCACCCAACCTTGCACCAACCCCCCGCGGAATTGGCCTCGCAAACGGGATCTGGGTTTTTTTTTTTTTTCTTCTTCTTCGTCTTCTTCCTCCTCCTTTTTCTTCTTTTGGGTTGTAGGGGGTTGGATTTGTTTTTTTTTTTGGGGGGGGGGGGTAACGATTCAATTTTTTTTTTGGTTGAAGATTAAGCAGGGAAGAAGATGAAGCTGGGAGAGAGAGAAGGGGGGAGGGGCGGAAGGGATGAAAGGTTTTGTGTTTTTGTTTTTAACTTTTCTTTATTAGTTTAATATTTAAAAATATTAAATGAATTTTTTTGTTTTTTTAATATTTTTTTAATTTTTTAATAGAAACTGGGGTCTGGATCAAGCTACGTCAGCATTTAACTGACAAATTTAACGGCAAGCTAACGGAAGGTATTACATTGACACAAATTCGTAAGATTAGTTATGACATTGTCAATTTTAAAAGATGAGGTATAAAAGTGTCGTGACACCAATAATTGATGTAATTTTTTGTATTTTACCCAAAAACATTTATTTGGTTTCTTTGAGAATGAAGAATGTATTGCACTTCTAGTATTTAAACATATATACATTATCCTAAACATTTATACCATCTATAATCCTACAGGAATTATGTCACTCCAGATTGGCTTGTTAGTTTGACAACTAACTTCCTCCCCTCGACCTTGCAAGTAATTATGTCACTCCTTGCAGCAACTCTACTCTTAGTCCTCTGCATCGACCCTGCGAGTAATTATGTCACTCATTGCAGCAGCTTTACTCTTGGTCCTCTGCATCGACCCTGCGAGTAATTATGTCACTCATTGCAGCAGCTCTACTCTTAGTCCTCTGCATAAAGGCTCAAATTAAAACAGAGGTATGTCCACCTACTGAATGGGAATTAAAAGTATCTAATTCAATGAAACTCTTACTGGTAACACATTAATGATTCAGAGTCATCTTCTTTCCCTTTGCTAGTGTAGGTTGTGTGAAGATCTCCATTGTCACCCTTATTATCCGCATCAAATTCAGACATCAAAGCCTCTGCAACAAGTGCAAGAATTAAAGTTGTTACAAAAACAAGGTTGGCAAATAATTTGGGAAAGAAAAAGAAAAAACTGCAGCTCTGCTTACCAATGGGAGGTACAGTGTTCTTGAAATACAATTGAATATGAAGTTAACAAGTTGAACCCCAATAAACTTGGCAAGCACTCTGAGAGTTTCCCTTTTCAATAACAAGTGTGTCCTCTTTTTTCTATGCAAATCTTAAATAATGATACGGTATGTGAAAATTATTTGGTACGTAGGCTTCACACATAGGCAACCAATTTGTGCAAACCATGATACAATCAGGACCAATCTTAGAAATTCACGAGCAATCCCCCCCTCCCGTGTACTTTTTTATTTTGGTAAATATACGTATTCAATGTAGTGAAATTCTTACAGGTAAAAACAGACAATCATATTTCATTGTAGGGATACAAATCAAGATAATTAAAGCACAAAGGAAGGGGTAACTAATTAACTACTTGTGTGCATAATGGTTCCAGGGGTCTAACAAACCATTGACCTTGAAAGTTGAATCATTTTGATTTTCCTACAAGCATAAATGAAGGGAAACATTTTTTTTTCCCATTGCAGCAGCAAATTAAGACAATTAATTTGTTTTTCCTACGAGCATAATTCAGTGGAACTTTTACTGGTAACACATTAAATCAAATAAATTCTACCAACCAACCGAGATGATCTTCACATTCCACGGTTTCACAATCTTTGCTGATTCCACACTATCATCTTCGAATCGCATGAAAAACCCCATAACTACATCATAAGATAACATACATAAACAACACAATCCATATCAGCTAGAATGCGCTTTCAAAAACATAAAACAAATTCAGAAAGCTACAATCTCAATGACCAAGATAACAATTTCTCAGTGCAATTAAAACCTTAGAACTGAGAGTTCCACTTACTCTTATTGAAAATCTCAACAAGACGAAAACCACCACAACCCAGTCCCAATCCTCCACCTTCAATGCCGAGGGTTTACCCCTAACCTCATAAGCAGTCACCATCGGATCCCTATCCTTGCTAAACTTCTTCTGCATCGTCACACAGTCCGACTCCACCCTCTTCATCTGCTTCACCTTCACATCAGTCGGTATAAAGAAATGAATAAAACTTATAATTTCAGACTTCAGAGCAATGATATGGTAGAGATGTACAAAGAAATGAATTTTGTTCCTTATGTTTCCCTTCAGCCGTTAGCATCCCAAGTGCAAGATATGGAGGCAACAATCAAGTTGATTCCAAGCTATGGTTGGCCACTTTGCAACTGGCAGTGGCGGCAGAGTAAGCTTGGTTGTTGAGTGTGAAGCCATGGCTAATGGGGTTAACAAAGTGATAATGAAAATTTTATTTTTGGGCTAAAGTCCTAATTAATAGACTCCAAGGATTAAATTTTTTTTTTTTTTTTTGTCATGAATGTAACCTTCCAACTACCCTGTTATCACGAGAATTATTTATCCAACTAGACCAACAAACTATGATATGTGATGGTCAATTTGGTAATGGAAATAAAATCAATATTTTTGCACCATCATAATTAATTCGAAATAGAATTGTAAAAAGGTGATACATGCATTCCTATGATTTAGGGTTATATAATTTACTTATGATCATGTCCAAATTGGGGGGCTTGGTCAATGTTAATTTTGATTTAGTGGTTGTAAGAGATTATCACAGGGCACATGCACACTTGTTCAAGAGTCATATGAGGCATTCTTTTTATGAAAAATCATATCGGGAGAAATCAAACACATATTTTGAATGCATGGGTAATTGCTATTATTAGTCAACATGAAGTTGAATTAAAGGTGTAAGTGAAAGTGGAGGTGATGTGGCTATGGGGTTGAAAGGGTCACCAATAATTTTTGGCTTTCTACTTGCATGGCTATGGGATTGAAACATCGACGATTTGCTTTGAGATTGGTAAATTAAACTAAAATAAACGAAAACTAATGAAAATGATTTTTTAGTGTAAAAATATGGTTTTTCGTTAAAATAAACAGTAACATGATCTTTTCGTTAAAATTTCCCTAAAATAATGCTAGCTTGGCTCTTTGAGATTGGCCATGAGATTAGACTTTATGCTAAAATATTATCAAAAATAAGTTAAATAACGTTGGACTTGAGAGCTTGGCACTTTAATTATAAAGCCCTTTTGGCCACCATGAAGCGTGATTCACACTGCATGGGATAAAATGCATAATCTGCAATCAAAGAGCGACCAAAGAGTTTCCATGCAGCTTTATTTCCCGTCGAAAACACAAGAAATGATATATACTTGACTATCTTCATGTTTGAAGAGATCTTCCCGCCAAGTTTGAAAAAGAAAAGAACAGCTATATATTTGACTGCAACAGTTTATTTTCTTCATTCATCAAAGCTTTCAACAGACAAGCTTTCGTTTTATTTAACGTATATATATGTTTGTGTGTGTGTCTCTATATATATATATATATATATATATATATGACATCATTTAGCAAAGCTCTGTCTGCTGGCTGCAGTAATCAAGGCCGTATAGGATCTGATAATTTATCAGGGTCGGGCATGCAGATTTCGATGCAGTTGTCGTAAACTTCGGTGCATCCATCCGGACATGAAGGATCTGTTAGTTGGCTCCCATTGTTGGTACACCCAACCATGCATGACATCACTCCGTTGTAGCAGGCAGTGATACATGAATCTTGGCCGTGGACGACTTGTGTTGCAGGCCATGTTAGCAGGAGCAATATCACAAGTACAGCAAGCATACTCAACCTCATTGCCATAGCCATTATCAAAACGGTATATGTGTGCACCTTGTTGTGAGCAGGTCCTTTTCAATATAATGTGATGCATTTGTGCTTGGGGGATGTTTATATATATAAAGAAAATGGTTTCACCAAAAGGAGAAAGAAAAGGCCATGCGATTGATCGTTAGCCAAAAGCTTCGGGACATATGGTCAGTTGTTTATATATATATATAACAAAGTATGATGATTATTAACTAAATCTAGTAAATTCTGATTCACACCTTTGTGCACACTTTTAACTTCAATGCTAGATTGCTAGGGATCGTGTTTGGCTATACACTCAAGTTTAGGGTTTCGAACCTACGTACCCGCAGTGTAGAGCTAAGAATTTGTTGTAATGGGTGGTGAATGGTGATAAAAAAGCTGCTGATAATATCGAATAATCGAAAATTTTATGAGGCATTGCATCAAATCCTTTGTCGATGGTTTCAATTAAAAATCACTAAAATATTGGAGTCAACACCATTAAGACCCATAATGATCAAAGTTTCCAAGTTTCTAACACACAAAGCTTTATTTTAATTTAGGGCATGGTATATATGCTCTTGCATGAAGTTTATATATCCAGGAATATGAATTAGCTCTGGCTACAAAAGCATGTATCATGCGTGGATGTGGTATAGCTAGGAGATCGATCAAGCACAGCCATTGATACACCGGCCTATATTTTGGATGCAGCCTTCAACGCAAGCCTCCCCAGCAGCTGGCGGTGCTTGGCTCCTGATGTAGTTCTTTTCACACCAATCCAGGCATGAAGTCATTTCTTGGAAGCAAACTGCGTAACATTGTCCCAGGTCTCCTCCTGCATCTTGGCCATGGGCTACTTGTGCTGCATGCCATGCTAGCATCACAAGACCAAGTATAAAAAGCACACTCGACCTCATTGCCAGACCCATGAACTAATTATGTAAAGAGTAGTACGCTCCTTCTTGTTATTGGGGAAGCCTGTTCCATATATAATGTGATACAGTTTGATCATGGAGGAGTTTATACAACAAAAAAATGCATGCGGGTACGTATATATATTGTCAGCCAACTTACAGCATTTTTTGTGTGAATAATGGTTACATCACATTCCGGACGCAAGACAATTTAAGAATAATGCTATTCGGACTCTATGCCGATCACCTTGTTGTCGGGACTTATCCAAGCTTTTTGGACTCTATTTGCTGATTACCTTGATTATTATTTTTCTTATGAAATTCTAACACTATTCTTAAATTAACTTGGATAGGTCCATTTGGTTGGACAACTCGTGATAGAACTGATTGATTAAGCTGAGGATGATATTAATGCAATTTGAGACGAGCCTAAAGAACATGACCCTCTCTTGAAATCGATCCAACAAACCCAAACCCAAACCCTTTGGCAATGATAGCGAGTGTATTTACTTGTACACTCGAACATGCTGCTTACCAGATCCTTAGGAAAAATAAGAGTGGGATGACAATGTCTCCATGCATTATATAAACTCAACTCTGAAAAGATCATTTACAAAAAACACAAAACAGAGTCATCTGTGGGCCAAATCCAGACTCCAGTTACAACTTACAAGTCGTTGATTGATTAACACCCAATAAGTAATACCTTAACAAAATATAAAGTAGAGAAGTTAATTTATTTGCATTCTTTTTTTTCCATGACTGTTTGCTACTCATTAACAATATCGTCACTAAATCTTTGGAAGAAAAACACTTAAGCTGGACGATCAATCTAACACTTAAAATTAGAAGGAAATCAAACAAAAACAAACAAACAAACAAAGAGTTTTTTCAATTAGAATTTGCAGTCACATGTTTTGAAGGGGAAAACTGATATAAGTCCCAATTTTTTGAGCCAATAGTAGAATCGTCCAATTATTAAAATACGTCCAATTCCTTAAATTTAATTCTTTTATTATCAATAATTATCTATTCAATGATAAGATTTATATAAAATCAAATTTCTTCCTAATTATCTCTTTGATTATTTCTTTTTATTTTTATTTTTGTTATTTCTTGTCTTCCTCCCTGCTTAAACCCCATTTATATAGATTTTATTTTAATTTTTATAATCAACCTATATCACAGGTTAATTATTTTTATGTATCATATGATAGATTCTTTTTTATAATCACGTGTCACAAATTCATGTGTCTTGCTTGTAGTTATTATGTTTTTTCATACCTTTTAGTTAGGTTTCATATCTCGCTTATAGATATAACTATATTCATATATTTGTTAATGAGTTAAGATACAATGTTTGTAGATAACTTTATGTTAGTATATAGTTTTTTTTTTTTGTTGTGTAAGATATAATTAGATTTGTTTGGAGTTGAAAACTGCATAATATATTAGAAGATTTTAATTGATTTTTAATATTAAAAAAATATAAATGAAGACTCAAAAGAATAAAAACATGTAATTAGATAATGGACTCACTCCTAAAAACATCTATGTTTTTGGACCTAGATCTCAAAGCCCCTTTTTGAAGTGGCGGATTAATACTCGTATAAATAAACTTTCAGGCTATCGAGGGTTATTTTCATCCATTTAGAGATATGGTAGTAGAAAACTAACCAAATACTGTGACATATTTGACGGCGGAAGTGAATGTTTTAAAAGATTAGAGAGTCAAACCACTAAACCACTAATGCTACGTAGCCTTTCTTGTTCCTCTTATTCTTTTTTCATTTCTTTTTTTGTTAAATATTGTTCCTCTTATTCTTGAGGACAACGGAGAAGACACATAAATGAATTATGATGCAATCTGTCTGTACTATTTTTTAGGCATAAATGGAAATTTAACTTACTTGGCCAGTACTAATTTTTTTTTTTTTTTTTTTTTCTTATTGGTCTGGACGAGTGCTATTTTCTAAACTGGCATTTTAGGCGTCGGTCTTCATGCATGCATGGAGAACAATGGAGAACAAGCTGACCTGAAAGACAACCTATATATGTGTAAGCCAATATCCTGCCCACCCTAGCACGTCAAATTTAGCTTAAACTATATGCTAATATGGCGATTTGTTGAATAGGCAAGTCTCTTTTCTTTTTCATTTTTTTTGGTCGACGTTGAAGACGTGTCTAAAATTGTGTTTGGGATTAATAGAAACAAGAACAACAATACGTTTGTTTAGTTTGTTTGAGTCGATGTTTGAAATAGAAAGGAATAATGCTTACAGTAATTACTTTTGCATGCCTCTAAAGGGGATTATTAAACTCATGGTAGAACTTATCTTTGTAATATTGATTTGGAAACGAAAGGCTATTACTAGGGTCTTTTAGGTCAAATTTTACAAAATGATTTTTGAAAACCTGTTTTGTAAAACGAAAACGACGAATTGGATTTTGCATTTTTTTTTAAATTTGAGACTGCGTCTGGTATTTTAGTCCAAGAATAATTTTAGAGAATGAAAATATTAAAAAGGCATGTGGTACCAAATGTCAAAATAATTTTATGGTTGGTAGTAATTGTGGAGGTGATAGGATCGATGGTGTGGTTGAGACAAGAGTTGTGTTGTAGCAATGGTGGTTGGAGTAGTGGTAGTAGGTGGTGAGAATGAAGATGTTAATATTGGCGGCATTCAAGTGGTGGCAATAGCAAGGTAGAGGGCAATGGTGGAGGGAGTGGTGATGGTGCTGGTGGTGGCGGCAACTGCTGCAATGGTGGTAGAAGATGGTTGTGTTAACAATGGTTATGAGGGATGGTTGTGAAAATGGTGGTTGAGAGGTTGGGATGATAGCGGCAGAGATGGTAGAGGTGGTGGTGGCCATGGTGAGATGATGATGGTGATGTCAGTTGAGGTGATGATGAGACGGTGGAACTGTGGAGGTCACTACGACGAAACCATTTATTAGTGTCGCTATGATAACCGGCAAGAAACGTATATTACTGTCGGATATTAAGTAAAATCCGACAGAAAATGGATACAGTGGCAGATATAATAAGCGACATAATTGCCATCATCAGGAAATGAATTTTCTGTCGGTTAAGGCTTTAAAACTAATAGGGAATATATTAATAATGAATAAATAAGAACATTCTTTGTCGGATAAAACCGACAGTAAATATTTAAAAAAATTTGAAAAAATTTGTGTCGGTTATAACCACTAGAGTTAGTATAAAAAATTTGAAAATAATTGACAGATTTGACACATTACTTACTTATGTCGGATATATCCACCAGAACTGTTTAAAATTATTTAAAAAATGTACTTTATTATTCTTGTCGAATATAACCGATAGTAATACTTTATTTTCCGACACTTTTTAAACATTGGAAAATATTTTATCCGACAGTAACAGTATAAAACCGCCACCACTAACCAACACAAGAAGCCAATTTTGTAGTAGTGGTACTTTTCTGAGTTCATAACTTGTTGACCACATATGTAATACAAGTGAATTCCACCTAAAAACAATGGGGCTTAACTCTATTACATGGGTGGTAATTAAGCAAATGTGTTCCAAATAGCATTATTCATAAATTAAGTAAAATGTAGGAAGAGATATTGCAATTAAGTTGTATAATTGATCAAAGCTTAAGTATAAAGTACGAAGCCTTTTATTTTATTGGACGTAGACATAACTTAGAGCAGTAGGCTGCACACTCGCATATATACATATATGTGTGTGTGTGTGTGTGTGTGAAGTTGATCAACTCCAGGCTTATGGTAATTTAGGTGGCTGTGGCTGCATTGATCGTCGTGGTGGTGGTGGTAGAAGAGGTGATCGAGGGCAATGCTCGTCGCACTTTGTGTTTTTACCGTTGCAGTCACTAATGCATGCATCCACCCCGCTGCCGCCGTGTCCCAAACAAGCAGTGACGCATGAGTACCAGCCTTCAAAACAGAGCAAGGCACATGCCAGGGCTGCAGCATCTTGATCGCCATGGACCACTGTTGCTGCAGGCCATGCTACCAGAAGCATTGCCACAAGACCCAGTACGGGAATTAATGCACTGCTACTCGACCTCATTGGCGGGGACCTAATTATGTGAACTGATATCTATAAGTAGTCAATTTTGTGTAATATATGTGATGCATTTGGGGGTGTTTATATAAGAAAAAAGCCGGGCAGATGTATGTTTCCGTTAGACAAAAATTAAGCATTTTTTTGTGGGATGGTTGCATCACATTCTGGACGCATGAATGCGATCAGTTACCTTACTCACATGAGGAAAAAAGAAGTCTCTATAACCTTAGCAAATGGTGGATTGCTCTAGTGAATTCCTCCTCATTTCACTACGTTCCGAGTTTAAACCTCCTCCCTATTTTTACTGTAGCTTAAAGTGATATTTTGGTTTGAAATATAAAAGTTATATAACCCTTTAGTAATCAAGATTACTTAGGGCATCTCTAGAGGGCCGAAATACAACCCGAACTATGTTTTAGCATACACTTGCCACGATGTCGATTATAAGCACCTAAAATTTTCTTTATCTGACAGAAACAAAATTTGGTCAAGTAAACTCTTCTAATAGTGGGATATAAATCAATTGCATATGTGAGTTGGACTATTTTACCAGAGTTGTGTGTTAGCCGCTTGCAACCAATTAGAATAGAATATCGTCTTGTCACAAGTCAATTGTATCTAAAAATCATAATCACTTTTATTTAAAATAAAAAGACTTTCATACCCATGTATAAAATTGCCACAAAGTGCTTAGTGATTTCTTTAAAAAATAAGCTTTGAGTGCTTTGGATTGGACCAAGGGCACAAAAATTGGACAAAAATAAGCCCATTATTCACAAAGGTAACAAAAATTTTAGAGGCCCAAAATGAAATAGAAACTTAGACGCAAACGACGACAATACTAGTAAAAGGCTAAGATCGAACTTGCTGCAGATCCAAGGGCCAGAATCATTCAGCCATTCATTTATATTGGCCCTTGATTATAAACCCTAAATCTCCTCTCTCACCAGCCATCGTTGCAAGCTCCCTCGCTCCCTAGAGTCTTCCATTCGCGGTCGCCGCCGTTTTCTACGATCTTCGTTTTCAATCAAGATGGTAAGCCCAACCGACCTTCCTCTTTTCGGATCTGTAATTCTCCATCGGTTTCTTGTTTTCCGGTACCTTAGAACGCAGCTATGTCTATATCTGTTTATATATACTTGAAACATGAACCCAATGGATATCTGTTAGGATAGAGGATCGAACTCCGCTTATTTTATTTTGCGTCGTTCTAAAAATTAGGGTTAGGGTTAGGGTTTGAGCACAATACATAACCACTGTTTGTTTTCCCGGGAAAATGGTTCGACATGATTCTTTTTTGATAAAATGATTAGTGAAATTAGAGAAAATAGAAATAAGTTAATGATTTGAGAAATGGGTTGTGTTGTAATGGATGTTTGGTTGCTTCTTGTTAACAGGTGCTTCAGAACGATATCGATTTGCTCCATCCACCAGCTGAGCTCGAGAAGAGGAAGCACAAGCTCAAGAGGCTCGTGCAGACCCCCAACTCTTTCTTTATGGTATGGATGTTAATCGATGGATGCTTACGCTTTTGGGTTTCGTATTTAGGTTGTTTAGTTTTGAATACTTAAGTGGGATAGTACTAATTCTGATTGTTTTAAACTTGAATAGGATGTCAAGTGCCAGGGGTGCTTCAACATGTAAGTTTTTATCCGTTTTTGTAGTTTTCTTTTAAAGTATTTATTAAATTATGTGCAAAATTAGGAGATAAGAGTATTTATTTGTTGCTTAGAAGTGAATGTAATGGAAAATGTTTTTGCAGAACCACTGTGTTCAGTCACTCTCAAACAGTTGTGGTGTGCGGGAACTGCCAGACTGTGCTGTGCCAGCCTACTGGTGGTCGTGCCAGGCTCACTGAAGGTTGCTCTTTCAGGAGGAAGGGGGACTGATGATCCTGCCAAGACCACTTTTGACTCATCTTAGTTTATTTGAAAGAAGGCCTTTTGAAGGTTCATCACGTGGAAGAAAAGAAATGGGTGCTGTTGTTATTGTCAAGTTTTCTAGGTTTGGGTTCCGATATTTAATTTTGTTAGGATCGTTCTGGACTTAGTATGACAGTGCTGCATTTTGATTCTGTTTTAATTGAGTTTGCTGTTTGACATTATGAGGTATCAATTACATCTTGAGATTATATATTATTGAGGAAGTGTTTTCCTGTTTTTTTTTATTTGATATTTATTATTTGCTTGTTTGCTATCGCTGTTTTTATATCTCAGCCTTGTGAATTTTGTGTTTTGTCTGTTATAATGTATTCTTTTATCTCTTTTTTAACGATCATCTCATATCATAAAAGTAGTTATTTTCATGCTTTCTAGGCCTGTGTTTTACTTTTATTGAGCATTGGTGGTGCTCTGTGTGCATCTCTCTCTGTGGGCAGAGTTTTAGGGATGTATACGGGGTGTCATGATTGTGTAATTATTCTGTTTTAGGGCAGTATTTATGTATCCGTTAAGGCTCATATCGCCATTGCTATGCGGGATCATTTGATAGGATCGTTGGGTTCAAATAAGGCCTATGAGTTTGCTGTTTGACATTATGACGTATCAATTACATGTTGAGATTATATATTATTGAGGAAGTGTTTTCCTGTTCTTTTTATTTGATATTTATTATTTGCTTGTTTGCTATCGCTGTTTTAATTTCTCAGCCTTGTGAATTTTGTGTTTTGTCTGTTATAATGTATTCTTTTATCTCTTTTACCTTAAAGGTTTTAACGATCATCTCATATCATAAAAGTAGTCATTTTCATGCTTTTGAGGCCTGTGTTTTAAGTTTATTGAGCATTGGTGGTGCTCTGTGTGCATCTCTCTATGTGGGCAGAGTTTTAGGGATGTATAGGGGGTGTCATGATTGTTTAATTATTCTGTTTTAGGGCAGTATTTATGTATCCGTCAAGGCTCATATCGCCATTGCCTTGCAGGATCATTTGATAGGATCGTTGGGTTCAAATAAGGCCTATGAGTTAGAGGTAGGTCACATGGGTTCAAAAAGAGTTCCAACTTTTATCATGCAACTAGATAAGGTATTCTCAGAGTGGAGTTTGAAGTCTCTACAGCTCGGTTGCATGCAGTATATAAGTACTGTCTAATATTTCTTGAGCGTTTCAATATTGGCCTCGGCCACCACATGGTGGGAGGTAGAGGAGACCTAGTCAGAGGGGGAGGGTGAGGGAGATATGTGGCCGGGAAAATGTACCATTGTGTTTGTGATTGTGGTTCGGGTTGGTTATTGAGTCGTCTATGCTCAACTGCAGGTGTATGATCTGACCTGTTAAAAATGCATCCTCTACTAGTTCTAGAGTGGTTGATTGGGTTTCAACCCTAGCTGTGGAACCGCAGTTTGTGTATTCTTGGGGAAGCATTATTTCCTTCCACCATCCCCTTTTTGGAAGGCCCTGGGATTTCAGCCCAGCTGGGGAAGTCTGGTTGTGGAAGGGGAAGCCGTTGGCATCCTTCTGCAAGCATTTCCTACCCTTTTCGCTCCCTCGCCAATTCTTGTGTGTTTATTGAGCTGGGTTCCCGTAAGGCTTGTTAACAATTAGGTCCGCAGAAGTATGTTTTTTGGGTCGTTGCATATGAAAGTCTTTCGATCCAAGGCAAAAAAGCCCAGATGTGCTTTACCTAAACTTAGGCCCCTCTCTTTTGTGCATGCCGTTGCCTGGTGCTTTGTGATGTGACCGTCCTTGGTCTTTTCCACAAAAGAAGATAAATGTTCTGTGCTGTCGTCAACGGTTGTTGCGGTGGGGACAATGGGGTTAAAGTGGTTGAGGTGCTTTGATGTCATCAATGACCGCTGCTGAATTATTCATTGTTGTTCTGGATCGTGGTTGAGGTGCTTTGATGTAAAGCACCATTTCATCAGTGACCGCTGCTGAGCTATTCATTGTTGTTCTGTATCGTCTCGATTCGTTGTGGGATTCACATCAGTTAACGGTTGTGTGTCATGAATGGTTGTGTTTCATGAACGGTTGTATTTTGTAATACTGTTTGTCTCGTAACATATTTAGTAATACAAGATTACAGTGAAAAGTTTTTCGAATGTGTGGATGGGCGATTGACTCCACGTTTGTCTATCATCAACGATCTTATCTCTCTCATTAGTTTTTAGCAGGTTTAGAATATAAAAGACGGTGTTCGATGGTGAGAGCGTTGACCGCAAGTAAACGGTTTTGGCTTTTCCTTTGTAATGTCGTGACACTTTTTTTCGCAACAATTCATGCGGCTAATTACTTCTAGAGGCCCCACTAATTTCTATCTTGCAATCTTACCCAATAAACAAGTCACAAAGTAAAATTTCTAGTCCCTCGAAATATAGAGTATTACGGTGTTTTCAAAATGGCTGAAATCGTTTTAAAAAAAAAAAGAATAGAAAATTGTGTTTCTAAAGAATTGGAAGCATTTTTTTTAAGAATTTACTTGTATTTTTACTAAGAATTAACTTCAAAAGTATTTTCATCAAAATCATTTTTAATCATTTTAAAAGGTGTTTTGATCATAGACTTCTACAATTGCACTTGCATCTCCGATTTGATAGCAGATTTGTGGTTTATTGATGTTGACAAATATTTGATGGATAATACATGTATATAAGCAATGATTTCAAATCTTAATTTTACGCAACGTGAGTTTTGGTTTGGTTCTTTTGGGAGTATTTGGGTGCAAATAATTTTCAACATTTCTCGTGTAAATCCGAATTTGGAGATGATACCGGTGCATGACACTGACGTGCAATTTGGTCGGGCAATTATTGGTGGGGCTCTATCCCAACCCTAATATTAAATTTTAATTGGAATCTTCATATATCTTTGAGAGGGACTGAGTTTCCCCAATGCTTCTTTTTTTGTCTTGATTTTTTTTTTTGGTTGAAAACAGCAAGGCCTGTCATCGATACTGCCGACGTTGTAGGAAAACAAACACAAAGTATGAAACAAATAATCCGTTCAACTAGAATTCTAGGCCTGCAAATGTGAAACACTAGACTTCCATCTCTGTTTATTGATTGAATTATACTTGGGCTAGTTGGTTAGCGTAAGATTCCAACCCTCTAGCACTCGAGTACGATTCCTCTTTTGCTAAACTCAAGTAGTCTAGAATATCGTCTTTTCACAAAAGTTCTAGACCCCATATCACGCTATGAGTTTGACGTTTACATATTCAAGTGATTAGCGTTGATTTGGTCTTCCCGCGTAAACATTTATATATGGCTCTCTCTCTCTCTCCTCCAGAAAATATTGTGTAAGCAGCAATTTCTGTGAAGGAGCAGCAAATAGAGGAAGCCAAATTTCATCTGTTCAAACAACATACAATTTGTTACTAGATTCAGCGTCACGGTCGCCCTTATTGACTCTCCATTTTTTCTTCCTCTCTCTCTCTCTCTCCTCTAATCCATTTAAATTTAAAGATTCTCTCATTTTTTCTCCAGGGCCTTAGTTTTTCGTTGTTCTCCGTATGCTCTACATATATAAATCATACACACTCAGAAACTCCAGCAAACCCTTATGAACAAGTCCCCCAATTGTAGATATTGTTAGGGTTGTTTTCTCGGTCTGCAGGTTACTATCATGTCCTATCTAACGGCAAGAACGGGGCGGCAGAGGCAGCGCTACGACGGTCATTTGAGGCTTGTTTCGGGGTGAGCACTTCTATCACCTCTCTGTTTTTGGTCATAGATTGTTTCCTTAGTTCTCTTTTGATCGAAGGAAGCAAGTGTTTTACTGTTTACTGAGAGTATGAATCCCACGTTGGAGAATTGAAGCCTTGCCAACACTCGTTTTATGATAATTTCTTGATGTTTTAGCAGCATGTGTTACTTATGTCTCAAATGATTTTTATCTTTGAGTGTGGAAAAAAAATTTGCACAGTAGGTAGAATTGAGGTGACAAAAGCTTATCTCTGGGTCCCAATGTTTTGTTTTAACAAGTTGCCAAAGGGTCCAAAATTGCTAATGGCCAAGGGTTGAGTTGCCAAAGCTGGGCCTAAAAATTGCCTTTTGACATCTCATGGGTCTGTATTCCATTCACACTTCGCACCAACCATTGGAAATTTCGCTTTTAGTCATTGCACAGTTGAAGTGTTCTCTAATGTGAGTTTGTATTCATAGTAAAGTTATTTTCTTATCAAGTCTTTAAATAACATTATCTATCGTAATCATTGGATAAGACCTATAAGGCTTAGACACGAATCAATTGTCGATATCTTACCTAACGGCTAAGGTAATCGTCTTTGTATGTATGCCTGTGTCTCATAGCTATCTTTGCATCCCAATTGTTAGTTTGTATCAGTTGAGTAATGAATCGAACTTTAGCAGGCTTTCACTTCATCTTGAGTTGACATTATAGCAAGTGTAAAACTGAAAAGCTTTCTAACTAATGTTTTGTACGGTTCTCTTGTTTTGATATCCGTGATTGACAATATTATGCTTGCAATATTGCATAACTCAGACTGGTAACTGTTTATCTCCTCTTAAGAGGAGGATTTAGTCTCTCCTCGAGACTATCATAATTAAGTATTAAGAACAAAACTTATGCTTATAAATATGATCGTCAACTATTAATTAGTCTTCATGAGTAATAATGCAGGAAAATGCTACAAAAATTTACAATGTTTCGCTTGCAGCATAACTGATCTGGTAGAAAACATAACACGAGTAAACTTAAGAGTCGTCATGAATAATGCAGGAAAATGATGTAAATCTTTACAGTGATACCCTCCTCTTGTCGATTACCGGGAAATAAGTACTTAGGTAGGTAGAGTCTGCGAGTGAATGGACTCAGTAATTCATGATCAAAACATTTTGTTTGTGAAAATGTAGTTAAATCATGGAAGCTTCATATAATACGGTTCAGTAGGTACATCATGTCATCATAACTAGTTTATTCTTTGTGTTGGTCCTATCGCTTATTTTGTGCTGGATATCCTTTCTGTACGTGGTTGGTATTGTTCTTCATTCAGAACTACTCCTTCTCACTCTCTGGGTTTTATGGGGGCTTTTTTCCTCATTCTGCATTTCTCTTTCAACCAAGTCTATTCTCTCATATTATTTGAATCTGCTTAAATGGATACCACCCTCTTACTGATTAGCCTGAACTTAAGCCACTTAGCTAGAAGAGTGTGCGGGAGTGATTGGACTCTTAAGATCAAACCTTATTGTTTGTAAATGTAGGAAAATCATGGAAGGTTCATAGGGCAATTATGGTTCAGTATGTATAACATGTCATAATAACGCGTTGGCTCTTTGGATTGGCCCTAATCCTTTCTGTGTAGAGTATCCTATCTGTTATTATCTATCGATGATGTTCTTCCCTGAGCACATCCCCCCCTGCCCTCTCTGTCTCTCTCTCTCTGAGGATTTATCGAGAACTTCTATAACATTTCCCTTCTGTATTTTCTTTTCAACCAGCTACAGCATCTCACATTAATCTGGAAGTTTTTGGTTTTGAGGGAGTTCTGGTTTTAACTTTCTATGTGGTGTAAAAAATAGGTGTATTCCTTATAGGTTTGAAAAGAGTGATGGCAGTATAGAGCAAAAATTGCTTGTTCTCATGATTTCTTCTCCAAGTCGGGACGATCTTGTGTTTCCAAAGGTATATATCTTCTTGCTTTATTTGCTCAATACATAAGGGCTCTACTTTGGTCAAACATTAAGCATAGCAACACCTTCTTTCATGATCAGGGTGGATGGGAGGATGACGAAACCATGAGCGAAGCTGCCTGTCGCGAGGCCTTAGAGGAAGCCGGAGTGAAAGGAGTTCTTGGTGTAGGTTTCCCTTCCCTGCTTGGTAACAGGCACGGCCACCTTGGCACTTTAATTTTTAAATGCAACAGAATTTGTACCTGGACATCTAATTTAGGAGTTTTCTGCCTCACATATTCTCTCATGTAACCTATTGTTGTAATGGATTCTCACTTCATGTGTCAATAGTTTTGGAAATCTGTTTCGTGGTTTTACCCGATTTTCGTTGGTACTTGTTTAATGTGATTACAGTGCCTCATGCATAACACTGAGACTGGTCATGCTTCACTGCATAAAAGATGACTAACTCAATTCAGACTATGAAACTCAAGTAAATAAATAAATTTCATATTTGCTTCAGGACAATCCACTGGGAGCTTGGGAGTATAGAAGCAAGAGCAAACAGAAGAGCTGCAGTCTGCAAGGAGGTTGTAAAGGTTTCATGTTTGCAATGGAGGTGACTGAGGAACTCGATTCCTGGCCCGAGCAGGCTAACTATGGAAGGAAATGGGTGAGTTCTGTACACTGTTGCAAACTTTTGGGCAAGCAGATAAAATGCTGTGAACTAGTTGAAACAAGCACTATAAATTTGTAACCATATTAGCTTTCAAACTCCGCCCTTTGGCGCGACCTTAAGTGAGGACTTGATATAATTTGTTGGTTGTAACCATTTTTCAGCTCACAATAGAAGAAGCATTCAGATCCTGTCGTTATGACTGGATGCGAGAAGCGCTACGAAAATTTGCAACAGCTCTCTCGGAGACCAGGGAAAATGACACAAGGAAAGAGCTGGATGAACTTCCTTTGAGGCCAATCTCAGAAATTGGATCAGAACATCCAATGTCATCATCGTCAACGTCCTTTGCTAATCATACCAGCATCCAGCAGCTTGCAGCTTAAAAATTCATGCAGTAAATGAACTGTACAGGGTTGATCAATGATCACAAGTCATGTAAAAATCCCTTGTACTGAAATTTCCCATCTGTAGCAATTTTCTCTAGTCTTAAACTGTTGTATTTTTCCTAGTAATTATGTTTATTTTTTTACTAAGTCTGTTTAGATTTCCTTATCAATAATGCTATTCTTACCACAATTTTATACCACATTTCTTTACTATCTGAGGCGGTAGATGAGTTGGACAACCACATCATCTAAATTAATTAGCATTTAATTAAAATGTTAATCAATAATTAATAAAAAGATTGTTAATTAAATGATGATTGTGGTATACGAGAAGTCTCATTCTTCCACTTAAGATTATCTAAGTATTTTAATTAATAAAGAGATTGAAATTAAATGATGTGGCTTGTCCAACTCATCTGTTACCTAATATGATAAAGAAATGTGGTATAAAATTCTGGTAAGAATAACATTACTCTTTCCTCAATTTGTACAAGCCTGTAATCAAATCAAGATTTGGTGGAATGCACAATTGAGAACCCTTAAATTATGTACTTGTTCATCATTTAAAATTTTGTTTACAAGAACTACTGTTTAATGTTTGGAGAATGCAAAACTTCTATATTAGAGAATCGGCAAATATTTTATGCGACGTATATTTTGTGTAGTTCTAATTCTCGTAACACAGAAGCTTTTTGGAATAAAAACTTCCATAACTGTCCTGCTGTGGAAGTGATAAACTACAAGTTAAAAAACAATTCTAGTGTAATTAGTAGTGCTTTCGGTAGCTGTCTCTCTGAAATCTTGACACTAAATACTTGAACATACATAGTTTTATCTCATCACAAATTCACAATGAATAAAACGAGCAAAACAGAAAAGAGCCAAAAATATCTCAAAGTCCGGAATGATCTTCAAACACGACAAGAAAAATTCAAACATCCAAACGCTCCCTCGAAACCCTGAATCCTTGCAAAAATGCTAGAGCACAATACAAAAACATTCACCCTCCAAAGAAAAATACCTTAATTAATCTTCCTGGTTCGTTTAAGTTTAATTCCAAAGGCCGTGGGGTTCGATCAACTTTGTACTTTTCCCTTTCGGTATCTCAATTTTCTGAGACGACTATGTGAACTCGTGCATTGACAGAGACCTTCTGCTTCACTGTAGATGACTTTAACTTAGCTAGAGAGCAAGTTGCAATTAGAAGTTTTTAGTTTGACTGTCACATTTTTATAATAGTCTTATTTAAGGATTTTGTATGTAAATGTTTTAACATGAATGGATTAGTAATAACATGTGGCGTTAACATTGAAAAATCTATTGAAACAAATATAAAAAATATATACGAACGTGAGAAAGTAACAAGTGATCAAATGACATTTTGTGATTGTATCTTAACGTAGTTATTAATCTTATTAAATATGAATAGATACGAAAGTTGATAATTTACACATATCAGCGACCTAATACGTATGTTAAGACAATCATATTAGTAACATTAGATAACGATGTAGCCATAATACATAAAAATCTCACAAAATGAGTTGAAGAATATATATGAATATGACCAAAGGGAAAGGATCAAGGGACCTTGTTTGCGTGCCTAACTCAACTTTGTCCTAGTTGTCTGGATTGTTGAACTGCGACCTTTATCAAACCCTCAATTTGATTTACACTTTTGTTCCATGTAACACGGGGAGGGTTCCTTTGACTCTCTACACCTTTCTTTCCAACACATCTTTTCACTCACGTATATCTGTTTTATTTGTGCCTTGAAATTGGAGATTCATGGGATTCACAAATCCACCTTGGCCTTTATTCGAGTTTTTTTGACTTTTGACACTTAATTTTCTTCCCCCAGGAAACCACTATTCACCTACTAATTAGTTCTTAACGCCACCCACCATTATATAAACCTTCTTGTTTTCTTTTTTCTGTTTTCTTAAACCAAGAAGTTAATTAAGATTAGAGATTTATTAAAATTGCACTCACATACTTTGGACACTCTAACCCTAGTTGGCTAATTTATTCTCACTTGAAGTTGAAAGTATATACTCAACAGATTCACAATCTACCCATGCATAATGTAAAAAATGTCAGATTTTATTCGTTGTTTTTAGAACAAAATGATTTTTTTTTCATCAGATTTTATGAATTGTTTAGAATAAAACAATTTTTTTATAATTTTTTTATTTTATCAAATTTATATTTATTCAAACATGACGTTTTAAACAAAATAAATACTCTTAACCATATAAGATATAAGTTCCACACAATTTAAATTATATACAATCAAGAATTGCTTGTCAACAGTATACTCTGTATAGAGGAAGCACATGGGTTGGCCATGCCACTCAAATGCTTAAGAAAACGATGCGCTATATTTTATTGATTTAAGACCATTTAGCATATGATTGCAGATACTGACTAACCTATAAAATTTGTCATCACAAAACCATCGATTCGAATTGAGAAGGTGCTTCTTGAGAATCTCTCTTTCTATATTTTTTTCAGAATTGTTTAATTAAAATGGAAGCTAGGAAGTAGGAACGGTATATAGTTGTGTTGTGTCAGTCATGAGTCAAAGAGAGAGACCGATATCTCAGTCAAAAAATGCACCATAATAATATTGCCAAATGTCTAAAAAGAATACCATCTTATAGAATAATGGTGATCAATCGGCATAAAGCCTTGTTTGGCCTAAATTCAGAAATCTGTGTCCAGGAATCACGAACGGCCGATTTATCTCTATACAGATGCTATCTTTCCACTTTCTTGATGGTAGTTAATTAGGTATAACCTTTATTTTGCAATATTTGGAAGGTAGATTGGACTATATGCTAGATATCATATCATGTACTAGCCATATTTTAATTTTGAAAGGGTTCCCCATGTTAGATTATATGGTCACTCGAAGGCCATTTTGGTTGTCTTGGGCATTGATAACGATATTTAGGTGTAACCGATGATAAATTGGAAAGACAAATTTACATTAGTTTTTTTTTTTTTTGACACAAAGATAAAATCAAACGTGTTAAAAACACCTCAATCTTTATTTCAACTTGCGTGCTTGTTGCCCTAAGTTTATAATTAGTTGTCCCTCTTTTAAAATGGATGCAAATGTTTGACCTATTTGTGACCTTGGCTCCCTCCAATTTTTACACAGTATATAGGCTCCACTTTTGCAATAGGGTAGCAATGTGATTCCCATGAGAGTGAACATGCACACGTGAACGTAAAAAGATTGTTTACCAAATCCTATTGAGTGACGTCCAAACACGTATGTGACTGTTGAGTTTGACATTAAAATTTAAAGTGTGAATCTATATTGTGATAAAATATTTTTAAAACATCACATAAAAAATCAATCAACGATGAATGAAGAGATCCAGGGGTATCAAATATATTATGCATTTCCCATGAAAGACAATTTCTATATGATCAGGGTGACTTGGTTCATTGTTAGAAAGATGATTGTTCGGTTTGAAGAATCTGGATTTGATTGTTGATCTCTTTGTAGAGGAAAGTCACACTTTGTAATTTTGATGTGAAATGCTCTTTTTTCCTTCCATCGAGTCAAAATCTCCAACAAATTTTTCTTAGCATATGGTTTCACACAATGCCCAACCATGAGGCATGCACCAATTTGGGATTAAGTTGATAATTACCAATTCACAATTAGCACAAGTTACAAGAACTTGTAGGAGAAAAATATTTGGAAGGATAAGACAGAAGACTAAGATATGTGGATCTGAACTGCCACCATCATTAATTTAGATTAAGCTGACTAATGTCTTCATTAAGGTATTGCCCTCTTAGTACTTTTTCTTTCTTGTTTTCGTTATCCATAATCCAATAAATTGGTCTTAAATCGGATTCCAGTTACAATAACAAAGCACTAGTTAACCTAAATATCTAAAGTAATTAGATATGCATGTACTGTGTACCGAAAGGCCAAGAAAATGGGTCCCAATAGGTCAAGTTTTCTCTCGATCTTTTTCTATTACGTAGGTCTTTCCTAGTGATTGTTTTTCTTCAAAAAGCTATGCCCTTTGTGTCCCTCTCACATGCAACCCAACATGGCTTTCCTTCAATGGAGGTCTATCTGCGTGTGCATATTCATGAGCAACGAAGGATGCTCCAAAACTCACCAAAATATAAGAGGAAAAAGCCATTTCCATGTAGTTAAACGAATTATAAAACAAAAAATTTGGTTTGAAAAGTTGGGAAAGAAGGTGTGGAACATATCATTATATTATAAGCTCAAATTGGATGCACGTGGCTGAGATAATTATATTCCCTGTGTTGTGCATGTACGTAAAAGTCTCCATATGCAATGTGTAGAGTAACATGACCCCTCTTGCAATTGTTATGTGAATATTATTTACACTATCTACATAGGTATAGGACAATAATATCATTTGTCACTTAATAACATTTCATTAGATTGTAAATTTAAACTACACGTTCAAATAAAAAATTGCATTATGGATGTGATTGATTCCAAAAAATCTAGCGGGTCAAAAAGAAATTTCAAAATATAATTTTTTCATATGGTTTTACAATTTATGTCCATTTTAGTTGAAAGTGAAATGAAAAGAAAGAAAATCTTGGGGATGATCTAGTATACATGCTCGAAAGAGAAATGCTAAGGAGATACTCTGAAAAGTGAGATTCTTTATAGACTCTCTGCCACCTTAAATTTTTGGCATATTGTTTTATAATGTGGACACGATAATTGATATTAAACTGTAATGTGACAGAGAGTCTATAGAGAGTCTCAATTACTTTGAGAGTAAGAAAATCTCCTTAGCATTTCTAATGCTCGAAAAGATAAAGGTGGTATTAAAATGGTGATTTGCTAATTGCATTGGGATGATCAATGATGGGGGTACTGACAATTGAATGATCATGGGAATGATAATTAGAGATTTGAGATGTATTGAGCAATCATATGTTGCAGGTTACTCCTTTTACAAAGCTTTTGGGTTTGGATATATAAAACTTCTTCTCAGGCGTGCATGCTCATAATTCAAAGTGATTTGATTACTGCAATAGTGTCCATGATCAGTAGCTGATCATACATTCAATTCAGATTCTCTCTCTCTCTCTCTCTCTCTCTCTCTCTCCCCCTCCCTCCCTCCTTCCTAAGGCACATGCGAGCAAACTTTAGGTTAGATATGATATTAAGAACTTGGGAGTTCTGTATTATAATATTTAATCCAATTGAAAAAATATTCCTAATTATTAAGAACATAAACTTGCAACAAGTTACATGAATCAGCACACAAGGATAATAATGGCCATAAGTTGCTAATCATGCATGCCAAATAAACAAGATAGAAAATGTATTATTAAGTACTTATTCAATCAATCGGAAATCTAAGGCATATATTGCAAAGGTTCCACGGTGATTTAATTAGGGTTTTGTTTAAATAAACTAGATTTCAACAAATAAATTAGCAACGGATTCATGAAGTTGCTGTCAGCAGCACAGAGAACAACACTCTCCAGGGTGCCCTCGGGCCTCAGCCATGGATGATGTGTTTTGTGGCAGAAATTACATGATGTCAGTCATGAAAAAGATGGACCCAAAATTTCTGATGATGATTAGCATGCGTGAGTGTGAGAATTGCTCATCATTTGACAACTTATTTGGTTTATGGGCAACTCTGTTAATATAAGGAGAAATTTTTGTGTTTAAAGAAAACATTGTTACGTAGAGTTATTATTTTGCGTATTATAACATAGGAGGACGACTTGTTTAATACGTTTCACTTTTAGCGTATTTGATAAAATAAACATATGTTAGAATTGAGTAATGTGGTTATAGATGAGTGAATTATTAATTAAATGTCGATTAACGTGCTTGTTTTTTTATTAAGGACATATCATTTGGTTTAAAAAATTTAGTCTTCCTAGTATTATCTGTTATAATTTAAGCGAAACTACCAAATCACGCGGCGGTGTTCCAGTTACGTCAAATCACTATAATACAACATTACTATATTATTAATATTAATTAATTAATTACATAATAATCTCCCTTATTTAAACACCCCAACATGCAACGGACGAAAACCCAAGAAGCCTACAATCATTCCCTTCTCTAAAAATTCTAGTAGTCATCACTGACAATCTCTATCCAAAGCATTATCTCACAGAGAAATTTATAGAAACGCTTTTTTCATTTTTGTTTTGTTTTTCAATCAAAATCCATGGACTTCTTCACAGCCTCACCTTCTAAATCAAACAACTCACCATCATCTTCATCAAAAACCAAAAGAAAGCAACAACAGCAACAAACCCAACAACCACAAACCCAGCAGGAGACTAGGTTTCTTGGAGTGAGGAGAAGGCCGTGGGGCAGATATGCGGCTGAGATACGAGACCCTTCGACCAAAGAGAGGCATTGGCTCGGAACCTTCGATACGGCGGAGGAGGCCGCCTTGGCCTACGACCGAGCCGCTCGCTCCATGCGCGGTTCCAAGGCTCGAACCAACTTTGTCTATTCAGACATGCCACATGGCTCGTCTGTCACCTCTATTATCTCACCCGACGAATCGCAACGCGACATGTCAGCGTTCTTCACTACCCCACTTCCCGAAACCCACTCCCAGTCTCAAACACACACCCAGCAGCCCTTCTTCACTCATCAGGACCCATTTGATGCCTACACAGTCTCTGGGGGTTCATCAACAGAGTTCGGAAGCGGGTCTTATGGGCCCACTCCCGGCGTTGTTGCTGATGAATCCGGGTATCAGTCTCAATCTCACACTCATGAGCTACCACCTTTGCCTCCTTGTGTCTCCTCCTCCACTTGTTATGGGCCTGAAGGCATTATGAGCTCGGACGGAGTTTGGAATGAGTCGGGCTTTTACGGGTTTTCTGAGCCCACGACGAAAAATGGGCTGGACTCAATGGTGAGTGGGTCCTATGTGGGCTTTGACTCGAACGAGTATGTGCAGCACAGCCCATTGTTTGGGAGCATGCCACCTGTCTCGGATGCGGGTATTGATGGGTTTGATTTGGGTTCATCCTCTGCCTATTTCTACTGACTTGGTTTAGTCAATCCATCTGATCTTCAAGTGTGGTTTTCCTTTTATTTTATTTTTTCTTTTTTTTATCAACTTGTTTTGTTTTGTGATGGGCCAAAAGTAAGGGTGCCTTGATGAAATTGTAATGGCTATGCTCTTTATATTGCAAGAATTTGAGCTTCTTCGAGAGTGTAAATGTTCTAATGGTTTGGCTTGGTTTAGTTAGCCTGGTGAGTTATTTTTTTGTATGGAGAAATTTTGGTGCACGACAGACGGACGGAGCATGTGACCGTGCAGCCACACAAACAAAACGGAATAATTTGTTTTTTCTCTTCTCAAACTGTAGCTTGCCCTGATCCCACTATGTAGGAAGAAGGCAGTATATAAGTGGCCGATCACACACACAAGACCACCTCCCTTGTATGGCACAGTTAAGCGTGCATAAGACGTTTAACACTAGAAAAACGAGTTCAAATCTTCTATGGCTTCTCTGTGATCTATCTTATTTGTTGACATTTGACTATTCATTTGAACCCCACTTAATAATGTTAACTCATCAACTTATTTCCTCAATTAAAAAAATAAAAATAAAAAGATAAAATATATGAAAAAAAAACACGTGTCATTCAAATAAATTGGGCACAGAGAGGCCAGAGTCTTTTTGGTGCAGATGTCTGAAGATTTGAACTCCCAAAAAAAGTCATGTGGCTTAGCCAATATTTTCCCAAAGGTAAATACAAGCAGTCCAAAATATGGGAAACCACCGAGGAACGGGCTAGTTTGGCAGGTAATAGAAACAAGAAGCTTCTAACTTGACAGTTAAGAACATTTGTCTATGCACCATACTCGAAGCCCTTTATTTGAATCACCTGCCTTCACCTGTATGAAAAAACCAATAAATGTAATTTTTGAAGGAAAAATTATGAGAAATTGAATAAACTAATCATAAATTAAATCTCAATTGTTGAAGAAATCAAAATTATACCGACAACATAGTAATTAAAGATTGATGATATAACAATCAAATATGAAGGGCATACTGAAATCAAATAATTTTCAATAACTGAGATTTGGAAATTGATTGCTTTGTGCCAATTTCCCGAAGGAAAAAAAAAAAAAAAAAAAAACCAAGAAGAAGCTATAACTAGTAATTTGACAAGTTCATAACATAATCCAGCTTTAAAATTATTTCTATATCTAAACTAATGTCATTGATCTCCTATGATATGGCCAAGCCGGCCAGTTTATCACGCAAAAGGAAATCGATGACGAATTCGGATTGTGAAACATGTCGGTCTTTATTTTTTTGCCACGGAAGAGACGCAAACACGGTTGGAATGTCTAGTCAGCGGCCACCATTTAATGTGACTCCGTCTAAAGTCTTCGGTCTTCGGTCTTCGGTTTTCACTTTTCATTATTTAGTTTTATAATACACACGCTTTCACGTATTCTTATATATTTTGATCACTGTTTAATTAACTTCTTATTGGCTTTCGGTTTTGCATTGAACCCATATGCTTTTTACCCTATGCTGCGTTTTCATCGCTAAAATACTCGGTTCCTTACATTAAATTAGTAATTTATCTCTTACAAATAAATAACGTAGATAATAGAATGATTCTTTTATATGTTTGGATGAAGTGAGTTTAAACAGCGAATTTGTTTCAGGTGGTGATTGTAGTTATCGTGATTTAGGCTTATGGTTTGTTTGGAGTTTAAATTATCTTTTGTGCAAGATTTTAAAAGACGTTAGGGATCAGTTGAGCAGTTGGTTTAGGCCCTAACGTCTAAGTGGATTTAAGTAAATTTATTAGATATCGTTTCAATAAATGTATGCTTATACTTAAAAAAATACATAATTCCACTTAAATACATGAGTTACAAAGTAGAATGACATATAGATTATAGAATATTAGAACAAAAAACAAAATGAAAATTATCTACTTTATGTCTAAGTGAGACTTGCGACCTAGGAGTAGGCTGCCTAGGCAGGTCAGGTGGGCGCCTAAGCAAGTATAAGTGTCATTTCTTAATTTCAAACTCTTAAGAATTAATCGAGACAGTAGTTAACCATCTAATGCAGAGAATTTTAAAACAGTACTTTTGTATGAGATCTTGTCTTGAGATTGATTTTTTTTATCACACTCCCGAGATGAAATTTGGTTTTGGTGATGGTTTGTATCTTTTCCTCCTTGCTTGTGTGAATTGTATTGCTTTCTTGACAAGACTTTTTTGGTCAAACAGCTCGAGATAATGTTTGATTTTGGTGATAGTTTAGTTTGTATCTTTTCCTCCTCGCTTTGTGTGGATTTTATTGTTTTCTTGACAATGTTGATGTAATGTAAATGCTTATTTAAAAATAATAATTTTTTTGTCACGATAAGCTTTTCAGATTTTAATTGGTGCGTTGTGCCTTGCGTAAAAGAACTCTTGTGACGTAAGAGAATACGATTGTATTCGTACCATAAAAATCATTCTCGTTAATATTATGTCTTACAGCAAGATTTGACCTCAGACCTCAACACTAAAACCAAATTATAAAATAAAATAAAGTTAGCTCTCCTGTCCTGTGTGAGCTTTCTCAGTCAGTGAGCAGCGTGAGAAAAGTTCAACCGGGAACCTTTACCACACATACCGACCACGTACTAAAAGAACGGTACGAGGACTTTGTAGATATCTTTCAGCTTGACCTTCCCACCTATGCACTTTCAATCTTCTTCTTCCTAACTTCCTGCAAAAGCCTCAGCTCCTTGACTCAACTCCTCCATGGATGCTGCAACTTAAGAGTTCGAAGCTTGTACCTTCCATCTTCCTTTCCCTACAGGTCAGGAACTCACTTGCAACTTCTTTTCTTTTAATTTCGTTTCCTTTGGTTTATCAAGTTTAATTTCAAATAAATGCTAGATGATAATTACTTTCAAGACATAATTTGTTAATTTTATCTTTTGCTTGTAGTAACATGTACATAGTTTGTCAGAAGAGTTTGATTCTTGTGAGTCTGGTTTTTAACCGAGTTTAGGTAGATTTTGGGTCTTGCCCAACAGCCATGATTGATCTTAGAGTTGCTTTGCAAATTACAATGCACTGCATTTCTGCTTTAGCATCGTAGTTGAGTGCAGATGTAGGCGTAGCCATATTGGTTAGAATATCGTTTGTTTTGTTATAACGAAAAATTGGCCAAAATGATCACAAATCTATCTCAATTCATGACATGGAAAATCAGATATCGACAACATACTGAAAAAAAGTGATCATATTAGCAATTGAGATATGAAAGAAACATCATGCTTGAGCAAAGACAGACTATGAAAGAACAAATAATGGTACTGAGATTTAGTCTCAGAATTCTTAATTTCAAATTGTTTGCTGTTTGGAGGATTTCAGGTCCGGATGCTAATGGAGTTGAGTGGATTTTTGATGAAATTGACAGACATCATAGGAAACTAGTGAAACTTGGAACATCCATCTTAATGTTACCAGCAACTAAAAATGAATACAATGGATTTCAATATCGGAATCGAGGATGTAGGAGTGGCAGTGCTGCAGGAATTATGGAATAAGGTTGCAATTCAAGCCACAGGGCTTGTCAACGAAACGAAGGATCTGTTGTTTGAAAAGGACAGCTTTCTGGAGTTCTCCAGGAGTATATCTGAGCTAAATATTCTCCTCGACAAGTTGAATGCCCGGAAGGTTGAAAATGCGCTGGGTTTGGAGTCCACAAAGGCTAAACTGACCACATTGAACCGTCAGTTGAAAAAAGCAAGCAAGATAATCAAGGATTACAAATGTGGAAGCCGCCTACGTCTCTTGCTTAAATCCCACTCAATGCTCTTGCAGATGCAGGATGTAGCCAAAGATATTGCTAATACCATCTCCTCATTTCAGCTGGTCAATCTTGATATCGCGCTGCACTTGAATTCGATGACTAACCAGATCATCAACAATCTGGAATCAATGGAGTTCAGGTCAGCAGCTGCAACAGAATCAATTGCTTCAGAGATGGAGAATTCGATGTCACAAAATGCTACAAATAGGGAGAATGCTCAAAAGCTTTTGGAGAAGATTGCAGATGCCCTTGGTGCTAGGGCGAATGCATCCTTGGTACAAAATGAGCTGCAACTTTTGAAGCAAGAGAAAGAAGAGATGGAAGCGCAAAAGAAGCAGGCAGAGGCACTTCAGCTATCGCAACTGATTGACTTCCTCTACACTACAGAAGTTGTTACTAGACCAGATGACGAGGGAACCTCTACTTACCACCAGCAGTACCCAATTGGTTCGTTCATATGCGAACTTTGCAACAAGATGATGACAGACCCCGTAGCAATTATTTGCGGTCACAGCTTTGAGAGGAAGGCAATTCAGGAACACTTTCGACGTGGAGAGAAGAACTGCCCCACCTGCAGACAGGAACTTTCATCTCTAGAGCTCACGCCTAACCTTTTGCTTCGAAACTCTATAGAAGAATGGAATCAAAGAGACCAGGACCTGAAATTCCAAGCTGCAGTTCATGGACTAAAATCCATTGACCACTCGAGACAGGACACGGCTTTAGAGGACATGCAATTTCTTTTAAAAATGCCAAGATATGTAACCAAAGCTGCAGAGGAAGGACTTGCAACAAAGCTGGTGGTAATCTTAAAAGATGAAGGGGTAAATGCTGTGGCAGCATTAAAATGTCTCTACTATTTAGCTAAACACAACGATGAACAAAAGGTAAAAGAAAACAAATGGCTTGCTTAGCCCAATTACATTTCAACTTTTGTAGTCTTATTCTGGATGTAAGTGTTGTTGCTTGCCTTCAGGAAACCATTGTCAAAGCAGGGGGCATTCGGAGAATTGTGAAGCATATCTACAAAGGTGGAAGCAAACATGATGCCGTTGCAGTCTTGTTGGAGTTGTCAGCAAAGGAAACCCTTGGGGAGAAAATAGGAAATGCAAAAGATTGCATTCCTCTTCTCGTTTCTTTACTCCATAAAGATAACACTGAAGTGTCACAGAAATCTCATAAGGTATTGCAGAACCTCTCCTTGAACACACATTTTGTTGTCAAGATGGCTGAAGCAGGACACCTTCAACCTTTCGTTGCTCGCTTCAATGAAGGTAAAAATGATATGCCTGATAACGAAGGTAAATGCCATACCTTTCGACTGTTACACAATGTAATCATATTCCCTTGGCCTCTTTTCGCAGCACCACAGGAGACCAGAACATTGATGGCTGCAGCCTTGACGAATATGCAACTCAAGGAGAATAGTGTTGAAGACTTAAAGGAGCCGCAATTTATACAGAATTTGGTTCAGATGCTGTCTTCAAGCTCTCCGGCATGCAAATCAGCTTGCCTTAAATCCATCAAGAAACTCGTAGCATATCCCAGGATCGTAAAACGACTTCTTAAAGACCCTGCCACTATACCACATTTGCTTGGTCTCATCTCATTTAACAAGTCTGATCCACACTTGAAACAAGAAGCAGCTGAGATTCTTGCTAACATGATTGGAGCGAGTCAACAATTTGAACAACTAAAATATCAGGGCTTGGAGGAGCTGCAATCGAAGTACAATGTCTGTGTACTATTGCAGCTTGTAACCAGCTCTGAAGATCAAACCAGGATTCAATTCTTGCACCTACTGGTTGAACTAAGCTATAAATCAGAGATAGCTCGAGATATAATACGATCTGAACAGGAGGCAACTGCTCACCTTTTCTCTTCCCTTTATAGCGATCATCCTGCGCCTGCAGTGAGAAGATGGGCAATGAAACTTATATATTGCATATCCAAGGGTCATCCAGATGGGGTTCCCCTTCCACCATCTCCTGCAAAAGAAACTGCCATTAACACCCTGTCAATGATCTTCATTAATTCACCGGATATTGAAGAAAGGTCAACTGCGGCAGGAATTATCAGCCAGCTTCCCAGGGACGATAGTAGTATTGATGAGATACTCCGAAAATCAGAAGTGCTAAAAGCCATTCATGAGGTAATTTGCAGCATGGATGAGGAAAATTGGGGGAACAGAGCACAATCCAACCAAGGCACATCTCTACTGGAGAATGCTCTAGCAGCCCTTTTGCGCTACACAGAACCCAACAAGCCCGAACTTCAGAAACAATTGGGCAGGCTTGAAGTGTACCCATCACTAGTTCGTGTTCTAACCCGTGGCAGCTCACTAGCTAAGCAGAGAACAGCCATTGCACTTGCCCAACTTTCCCAGTCTGCCAGCCTGTCAGTCTCCAATGAAACCATCAAGCAAACCAAGCACCCTGTGCCCCTCTTTGATTTGATGAAGAATGTTTCCATTATGTTGTGCTTTTCGGCATCATCAGAGAATGAAAACTCCTGTCCTGTTCATGGTGCTGCTTGTTCACCAAGAGATACCTTCTGCCTGGTTAAGGCAAATGCTGTGAGCCCGCTTGTGCGCACTTTGAGTGAGACGGAGTCTGGTGTGGCAGAGGCAGCTCTGACGGCACTTGAAACATTGCTAATTGACCACAGCACACTAACAGATGCAACTGCTGCCATTGTGGACAACCAGGGTGTGGTTGCCATTCTGCAACTCTTGGACAAAGGATCTTCATCTGCAAAAACCAAAGCCTTAGACCTGTTTCAGAAGATCCTGGAGCATACAACTATCGCTGAGACGTTAAAGAAGAGGTTTGAGAATATCCTTGTCCAACTTCTCCAGGACGATGAACTAAAGAAAAAAGCAGCTTTGGTACTTAGGCAGATGGGAATCATCCCCGATCAATCCTCATACTTCTAAAAGTGTTTGAGGCACATTTGGTGCTTAGGAATGGATTGGATTTGTTAACTCGCTACATTCAAGGTACGTTGAAGAAAGATCAGATGCCAACTTCCAGATTTTGTCGAGACTAAAAGTGGAAGATGGATTAGTCATCAAGGAAACTCAGGATAAGTTATATTCCAGACTAGTCCATCTTCCACCATTAACTTCGACAAAGTTTGGAAGTTAAGAGGATTAGTTATTTTCCAGACTAGTTCATCTTCCACCATTATCTTCGAAAAAGCTTGGAAGTTGACCTTTACTTCTTCCTTCAACATCCCTTGAATTTAGTGAGATATCCAATCAAATTCAATCCGAGTCACCAAATGGGACCTTAATTAGGAGCAGATACCTGATGCATAATATTTGTAGATGTGTTCCATTTACCATTTTTGTAATTGCACCACAACACATGCGTTGTGAAAGAAATATATGTGACATGCTCTGTTCAGGTTACTAGATGATAGATATACACTTTGTCACTTTTTCCCCTGTCATGGCTCCATCTCACCTCTAATGTGAAAGATGTATGAATCTCAACTTATCTCGTTTAGTAGGATACAGAAAACATAATTACAATCAGTATAGGAAAAGAACTACTGATCAACCTTGGAGTAAGCTGCTGCTCGTGTGTCCATATGGGAATAGGAATGAATGTCCTGGTCAGAGTTGGATTGAATCTCATTGTTCTTAGTGGAGATGGAACCTGTTGCATGAACCATAGAAGAGACTGGTTTATCATTCCCTCGCAAATTGACAGGGAGGTCACGAACTGGTAGTTTGGATAGCAAGAAAGTAAATCGAGTGGCAAAGACACCTTTGGTAAGAAGATCTACCAACTGATCCACAGAAGAGACATAGCCAACAATGATCTCGTTGCGAGTTACTTTCTCACGAACATAATGGTAGTTGACTTCGACATGCCCCATGAATTGTTGATAGACTGGATTAGATGCGACATAAATGGCACTAATGTTGTCGCACCAAATGCGTGGATGAGCAAGAGGAAGATGAAGCTCACGGAACAACGTGTAATACCAAGAGAGAACAATGACTGTGTAGGCAAGTTGACGATGTTTCGCTTCAGTACTGGAGCGCAAAACACCACGTTGCTTCATGGAGCTCTAGGAGATGAAGTTGTCGTAAAGGAAAATACAATAACCACCAGTGGAATGACGATCATCAAGATCACCAGCATAGTCCGCATCAGCATAGGTAGTGAGTTGGAGAGAACTTAGGTGGTAGACAATGCCATGATTTGGAGTAGCTTTAAGATAACTGAGGATACGCTTGACTGCAACCCAATGGACCGTAGTGGGCTTATGCATAAAGTGGCAAACCTAGTTAACAGCAAAGGTAATATCAGGACGAGTGAAGTAGAGGTACTGCAAGGCCCCCACAACACTACGAAACTCAGTGATATTAGACAATGGTTTGGCATCCGATAGACTGAGGTGGCGACCACTAATTGCTTAGGGTTGAAATAGGCTTGCATTCCAGCATGATGGTACGTTTGAGGAGATTAGTGATATACTTGGTTTGTGTAAGATGAAGACCTGTGGTAGTGCGATGAACTTACATCCCTAAGAAATAATTGAGAGGTACAAAATCCTTCATGGAAAATAGGGTGCCCAACTGATGAATTAAATGGGCGATATGAGCCGTGCTATTGCCAGTAATAAGAATGTTATCCATATATATTAACAAGTAAATAACCACGAACCATAGAAAAAAAAGTAAATAAGAAAGAGTAGGCATGAGAGGAGACAAAACCCAAATTTTCCAAGTGTTGAGAAAAATATTGGAACCAAGCACAATGAGCTTGTTTAAGACCGTATAAGGACCGCTGCAATTTGCACACATGAGTAGGACGTTGAAGATCAACAAACCTGATGGTTGCCGCATATAGACTTCCTCAGTCAAAGAGCCATGAAGAAAGGCATTTTGAACATTGAGTTGACAAAAAGGCCAATTGTAGTGAATAACAATAGAGAGAATTAACCGAATAGTCGCATGATTGACAATGGGACTAAATGTCTCACATAGTCTAAACCTTCTTGTTGATGAAACCCATTAGCCACTAATCGTGCTTTGTAACGTTCAATTGAACCATCAGAGCGCCACTTGATTTTATAGACCCATTTGTTCAGGAGAATGTTCATAGTGTGGTGAAACGAGACCAAAGTCCAAGTGCCGTTTCGTTGTAATGCATTGAACTCGTCTGCCATTGCTTGTGTCCCTCGAAATGTTTTTTAGCCTGACTAAAACATGTGGGCTCAACCAAGTCGTTAGCAAAAGTAGTAACACAAGCATATTTGGGGTTAGGTTTGCGAATACCAATTTTTCTTTGAGTGATCATGGAATGGGACAAGTCATTTTGCCTCAGGAGTAGATTAAACTGGCGGTGTGGGTATAACTGGTGGCATTGCTACAGGGACCGGTGCAGGTGAAGAAGTAGGGGGTACAGTCGAGGGTAAGGCAGAGGGAACAATATGGACTGGATCTAGGGAAGAAGTAGGAGGTATGGTAAAGGTAGATGCATGTGGTAATGTGGAGGTTGATGGTGGATGTGGTTGCGGAAGTTGGTGGGAATATTTGGGGTGTGGAGATCTGTGAGTGTAGACTTGAAGACGACGTTGGGTAGGTGGTTGTGGTGTAGGATAAATGGCTGAAAGTGTTAGGGGAAGGGGCCTGCTGGATGGGGGTGGTGGTAGCAGGAGGATGAGGCGATGTGCCAATGGCAATAACGGGATCCATAGACAAGGGAGTCGAGGAAGGCGATGTAACTAATGGAGTCTTTATATGGAAAACTATTCTTATCAAACACCACATGGTGAGAAAGAAAAACACGTCCCAGTAGAGGGATCCAAGTAGCGATAACCAAGATGATTCAAAGAATAACCCAGGAAAACACAACGTTTTGAATGAAATTGTAATTTAGTAGTATTATACGGATGCAAATAAGGAAAGCATGCACAACCAAAAACTTTGAAAAAATTATATTGAGGAGGTTTTTGAAACAATTTTTCATACGGAGAAATATTGTGTAAAAGGCGAGTGGGCAAACGATTAATTATGTAATTAGCAGTGTGAAAGGATTTGGTCCAATAGGGAATGGGTAGACCAGATTGAGCTAAGAGAGTAAAACCAATTTCAACTAAATGTCGATGTTTACGTTCGGCCAAGCCATTTTGTTCAGGATGATGAGGGTAAGTGAGGCGATGTAAAATTCCATGGTCATTCAAAAAATTTCGAAAACCATGATTAACAAATTCACCGCCACCATCCGTTTGAAAAGCCTTAATATTAACACTAAACATATTTTCAACCAAGTTTTTAAAAGTAACAAAAGTGGAGAAAACATTAGACTTTAAGTGTAGGGGATAAAACCAAGTATAACGAGAGAAATCGTCCACAAAAATCATGGAATACTTAAAACCAGCAACTGAGAAAGAAGGTGAGGACAAAACATCATAATGAATTAATTCTAAAGGTGAAGAAGACATGGATGAAGATAAAGAAAATGGCAATTTATGACTTTTACCTAAAGTACAAAATTGACAAAATCTTCTAGAAAACAAGCCTTTAATTGTCAATTTATTTGCAGAAACTAACTGTTGTAAAATTGAAAACGAAGGATGTCCTAACCTAGAATGCCACAAGGCATCTGTTACATGTTCACCTAAGAAGCAAAAATACCAGGTGTTTGATGAGAGGAACGGCAAGGATAAAGTCCATACTCAGGCCTTGTAAAAGGGTCATCCCCGTTCGTGAATCTTGCACACGAATCATCCGTAAAACAATTTAAGGAAATGACATTAGTGGAGGCTTGAGGACAAAATAGAGTATTATGTAAACGAAAGGAAGTAGTTTTAGTGTGAAGAAACGAGTCACCAATTTTGAAGATTTGCAAACCTGGACCACCATGAACACCATGAATTTGATCAGTTCCATGATACTCACGAGGGTTATGAAGTTGTCCCACATCATTGATTATGTGGGAATTGGCACCAGAGTCAAAGAGCCATTGTTGTACAGGCGAAGCAGCAGGAGCAGTGGGACGCGCATAGGGCAAGGGGGCAGCCGCATAAGCTTGAAGACGAGACAAATGAACCCTTCCTTCATATGACATATTGAGATGATTGAAGTAATTAATAACCGAATGACCATAACATTGACAAATCCGACATTGAATACGTCCAGATGAGAAGGTCTAGGAGGCAGAAGCAAAACCACAAGAAATAGGAGCTGGGCCAAGGATGCCATTAGAAGAGAATGGCTGTCCACGAGAAGAAGTTGGTGCAGGAGAAGAATCATTGATGTAGTTGTGGGAGGAGACACCGCCACAAGCATAGCCTCCATTGTGACCACCGCAGAACGAACCACCATGGCCACTACGCATAACATCAAAGGCAGAAGTGTCGACATCAGAAGGAATAGAGAAAGCATTGTGTTGTTGTTCTGCACTTAGAAGTAAAGCTTCCAAGGCATTGTAGGTGTTGGGAGTATCACGAGCTTATGCAGAAGCAACAGTGGTCTCATATTAAGGACCAACCTTGCTCATAATGATGACAACTAGATCAGACTTAGAAATAGGGGCTTCAGAGAGGGCAAGATTGTCGGCAAACACATTCATTTTGTCGAGATGGTTAGTAATACAGAGATCACCATGAAAAGTATTCATTAATTCAGTACGCATTTGAATAATACGGTTCTGAGATGTAGAGGCATATCATTCTTAAAGAGATGACCAAGCAGAGGCCGAATCAATTTTGTTGACAATGGTAACAAGAACCTTGGGAGTAAGAGAACTAGTAATCCAGGAGAGAATCATCTGATTAGTTTGTATCTATTCACTATACAATGGGTTAACTTTGTTAGTGAATTTTCCATTGTCATCAAGAAGGAAGGCAGACGGGCATTTGTTTTCATCGGTAACAAAAGAGAGGAGGTTGCGGCTGCGCAGAAAGGGAAGAAACTGAGCACACCAAAGAGGATAGTTGTTGTGGTCGAGTTTGATGGTGAGGAAGTTCATGACAGAAGGAGCAGCAACAATGGAAGAAGAAGACGCCATGATTGGGATAGGACCGAAAAAAAAAATTTAGACTATGAACCTTTGTCCTGAGATACTGGTTCTTGATACCATGAAAAATGTTATGTATGAATCTCAACTCAATGAATGAGTGAGCCAATTATCATTGGTATATATACAGGGTTACAAAGTAATCATGTAGTAAGATACAAAAACATAATTACAATCAGTATAGGAAAAGAACTAATCAATCTTGGACTAGGTTGCTGCTCGTGTGTCCGTGTGGGAATATGAATAAATGCCTTGGTCAGAGTTGGATTGAATCTCCTTGTCCTTGTTGGAGATGGAACATGTTGCATGAACCAGAGAAGAGACTGGTTCATCACAATGGACCACGAATATGCAAACAGAATTACCTAATTTTTGTGCTTGAAAACTTAAACTCTAATCTCTTTTCCTTTCTTT